ATCAGCAAAGGCCCTGCAATCTCACCGAGACATACTCCTGGGCAGCCGCAAGGGCCAAGGCCAAGGGCTGCTCCAAGGTCCTGAGGGGACATCTCTGGACAAGGGAGGGACAGGCAGGGCTTTCCGAGAGAGGCACAACCAGGGGCCTCTCCTGCTTTGTGCAGGGAAATGGGACTGGACCAAGGGCATCAAGTGTGCTAGGAAGAAATAATCAGCTCCAGGCTGGCCCCAAACAAGCAGAATCCTATAAAGAAAAGAAAATGACTAGAGATTTGAACAGAGAAGCTGGGCTACACCTCCACTCTCTGCACAGCTGCCACTGATCTTCCTAAAATGTAGATCACATGCTGCGCATGGCCAACCAATGCCCTTCCGCGGTGACCCGGGGCCCTCGAGAGGGATCCAGATCCTTAGCCCCAGCCACAGGGCCCGATGACCCATGACCTGAGGCACCTGGACCCCACGTCTGCATCCAGGTATAAGGCCTCCTTGGCGTTCTCTGCCATCCTCCCAACCCTGACGCTCCTGTGTCCTGTAGTGAAGATTTTTCAAATGGGGCCTCTGCCCCAGCCCATGCTGAGTACCAGGGATGCGATGCTGAGCACAGTAATCATCCCTGTCCTCTGAGGGCTTCCGGTGAGTAGAGAACAGAGAAGTTATTGGAAGAGTCACATAGTTATTTTAAATACATATAGGGACCCTGCAGAGAAGCTCAGGGGACCTGGAGGGAGCTTAAGAGGCCCCACTGAAAGAGGAGCAGGGCTGAACTCTTCCCCAAGAAAGATATCTCTGGGGGTGAAGACTCCCCAGGCAGGGGGATAGGTGAGTTCGGGGCTAGAGCATGAAAGGGAGGAGGCCCTGATCCAAGGGTGGCTGAGAAGACTCAGGTGGACAGAGCGAGCTCCATGTGCCCCTTGCTGTCTCTCTTCATGGTGGGGGGCTGGCTTCCAGTCTGTTCTTGCACACTAAGCTGACCGTGTGAACCAAGAGCCCAGAAGTCAGCACCACATTTTGCACAGGTGAATAACAGCAGGTAAGCTTGGAAAACCATCGCAACTGGGCACAAGCACATAAAAGGGGCAAACTGTACCACACACAGCCCTAGGCTCTGAAGGGACCTAAAGCACGACCACAGCAGGCCTGCATGGACAGCAGGTCTTAAGGCCAGCAGTTCTTCAGCTGCTGTCTGCTTCTGTGGGACACAGCCACAGCGTTTGGTTGCCAAGTCAAAGGACAACATGTTTTACTTTATAAGAAACTGCCAAGCTTCTTTCCCAATTTGCCAGTGTGGGAAAATGCCAGTCCTTCCACATTCTCACCAATATTTGGTGATGTCTCTTTCATTTTACCCATCCTGGTGAGGGCAGTCGAATGTCACTGTGGTTTTAACACTCATCATCCTGAAGATTAGTGGTGCTTCGTGTTCATTACTTTTTTTTCCTAATCTGCTTTCAATCTCATGCGGCAAAATTCTCATTTCTAACATCACAGTCTTCATCTCTAGAAATTCTATTTGTTTTTTATTTCCTAAACTTCCTTCCTCATTAAATTCATGTTTTCTTTAAAGAAGTGAATGTAATTTAGCAGTTATTTTTGTGTCCTTGTTTGCTAATGCCATCATCTTCATCCTTTCTGAGACTATTTCTCTGGACTAATTGTCTCCAGATTGTAGGTCACATTATCCAACTTCTTAACGTGTCTAGAAACTTTTGATTGGATGCTAAACAATGTGATAATTACACTGTTGAGGTGTTCGAAGACTCTCTGGCCGTGTAATGGAAAGGTGAAACTGTGGTCATGGCAGTGACATTTAGGGGACTATGTGGGCAAGCAAAACAGGCACCGGGTCTAAACTAAGGAAAGGGAAAAGAGGGACAGGGCAGGTCAGAGGCCTCTTTCTCCAATTAGTACTCACAGTGCACCTGCTGTGGGCCTGGCACTCTGATAGCTGCTGGGATAAGAAAAGGGAGGAAGACAAATCCCTGCCCTCGAGGGACTTGCATTCATTGGGCCAAGCAAAAACCAATCACATAGAGTGAGTTTTGTCTGGATTTGGTGGTGTTCCTTCAGAGAGTGTTGGGTTTCATTCTGATGGGCAGATGGTGAAACAAAGACTTCGGGGCATGAACTTTTTCTGGCAAACTGAATTTGCGGTTCAGTTGGACTCTTCTGAGACTTATTTTCATCTTTGTTAGGGTGGTTCTTATGTAATCATTACTCAAGAAATAGTTTAGGTCCACTAGTGTGGCCCTTCTGGTTTCTCCAGTGAATGTCCTGACTCATGGATGGCTGATCTGAACTCTAATGCCTCCCTGGGACACTGAGCTCAGAGCTCCTGGGTTGTGGTCGGCATCTCCGTGTGCAGCCAAGACTCAAGATCATGCAAATGGCTGCATTTCTTTTATGGCAAAGCTTCCTCCTCAGTCTAACTCTATCCCACATTCTATCCTCAGCCTCACCAGATCCTCACGTGTATCTTATGTGCAACCAGACTGCCTTGTTTTGCTTGGGATTTCCGGGCAGAAGACCAGGGTGTTGTGGGGCTCCCCTGGTTTCCTTCCTTCTCTGTGCTCTAGGCCCAGGCCTCCTCTTAGCCCAGGTTCAATAGCTCCCGCTGTCACCTATCTTGTCCACTCCATTCTGTCCCTGCTATTCACCATGAAGTAGACATCAATCTTTCGCAAATTAAAATCTTGCTTTCAATTCTTGCTCACAACTCATCGCAACTGTGGCTCCCTATTACATCTCTCCGTGACACTTTATACCCCTCCTCTAAAGAGCACCTGTTAGTAATTCTGCACACTCTGTGATTGCTTTTTGCTTGGCCCAAATGAATGCAAGTCCCTCGAGGGCATGGGTTTGCCTTCCTCAGTTTTCTTTTCCCAGCAGCTACCAGAGTGCCAGGCCCACAACAGGTTCTCTGAGTACTGATTGGAGAAAGAGGCCTCTGCTGCTCTTCCTCCCCGTTACCTTGGTTTAGATCCTGTGCCTCTTCTGCTTGGCCCGCATAGTCCCCACTGTTGGCGCGACCACAGTTTCACCTTTCTGTTCTACAGCCTGGGTCCATGGCCTAGGACCAGTCATGTTACTCCCCTGATTACAACCCCTAGGCAACTTCCTGTCACAGCTAGAAAGAAAAGAATGGGCAGGGGGTTAGATTCTACCTTTGCAGTCTCTGCCATCAGCCCTTTTCACACCTTATCTCACTTGTGATCACCAGCAGAATTGAACACCTTGCAGTACCCAAACACCCCTGTGTGTGCAGACCTCTGACCTGTGCCCTGAGTGTCCTTGCTGCATGACAAACCACAGACATGTCTCTGAGGAGAAGCAGATATCCTGGCCTCTCCAGAATCACTGCCACTTTGAGCGAGAAAGAACTGGCAAAGGATAGAGGTCAGAAGTCACAGCTTGGCAGTCCCAGACAGCTCTGCTACCCCTGGGTCCTCCTCCGGCTCCCACGAGCCATGGCTGGACGTTCCCTCCCATCAGCAGTGCACCCTGGAAGCGCATGCCTGTGTCTGCGCCATTCAGAGGCTTTGCAACCAGATCTGCCCTGCGGCCTGGGAAACGGCGTTGGTCAGCACACTTGGACTCTGCAGAGGGCCCAGGTGTGAGAGAATGGCTGTTCCCAGACTCTCAAGGAACCCGGCTGCTCCTAGTTTCACTGTCCCCTCTGTGCAATGAAATCGCACCTCCTTCAGAAAGGGGGTGGCGGGCAAAGCCCCCCAGCCCTGCAGCTTCCCAAGCCTAGCCACTCTCCCACTGGGTTTTGCCTCTTCCAATGCACAGGACATCTGGCCTCTGCCACTGTCTCCTTCCTAGTGGGTTAGCAGGGACCCCTCTGTGGCTGTCACTGCGCAGATGTTTGATATAATTCATGGGGTGGGTGGGGTGTGGGGGCACAGAGCCATTGAAGGTGACTGGGCAGAACGTGCAAGAGGCCCAGTCCAGGGGGGAACTGGGTAGAGAGAACAGGACAAACCGTTTAAAACCCAGCAGCAGCCCGTGCCCAGGGGCAGAACAGGCCCCTCCCTGCTGTCCCTCCACTGTTGCCCTGCTTCGGAAAAAGCCATCTAATAAAATTAATGTGACCCATGGCGGGAGTTGACCTTCCGGGCCCTGAGGAAGGTTCCAGATGACTGGACAGATTCTTGACAAATCAGAATTTCCCCTGCATCCAGCGAGGGCAGGTTTGGAGGTGAGGAAGCCATAAACCCTGTGGCACCTTCAGAAAAAGAGACAGTGTGCTCCAGCGATGCTGGCTATTAAGTGGACTGGGCCGCAGGTAAGACACTAATTCCTCCGAAGCCCCGCGGCTGAGGGATCGGGCAGCCTGGCCCGGAAAGGGGCTCACATTACCAGCCAACAGATGGACTCGGGAACTTTTCCTTGAAGCAAATGATAACTTAATGAGGTGAAAAACTTAAGTGGTTTTGAAATTCAGGGACAACCCCCACCTCCTCCGGCCAAGGGCCCTTCCACCCAAAGTCCCCGTGGTCACAGCTAGGTTGTTGATGCTAAACATTGGCCACCGTCCAGATCCGGGGGGTCAGGGGGAGGCAGGGAAAGAGGCCAATTTAACCCACGTCACAGTGGACGCAGACCACGAGGATGCAGACCGCGCTCAAGCTCCCGGCTCAATGCCTCCCCTTCGCCTCCCGCTTTGGATAAACTGGAGGTAGGTGCCGCCGCAGTGATTACTAGCTGCCATTTCAAGGCGCCGTGACATATAATAAGCCGTTCAAGCCATAAGTCAACATTTATCTGCAGGGAGCCACATTCTGCACGGCTAGAAAAGGCAAATTTTCCAGATGAGAGGGACCGTGAAGATTTTCTACTTCAGTGGTTTCCATTCGCACCACCGACGATCACTTTTGTTCTTTTCCCCCCCAGGCCTCGTGTTTTCAAAGATTGTGTCGTCCAAACTACCTTCGTTAAGTAATAATTAATTTGTTTCCCAATTGTTTAATTAATCAAACATATAAATAACTGCCAACCTGAGCTTTTAATCAGTGTGCGCGGCAGGGAGAGGAGGCCAAAAGCTGATACTTAGGAGGCGTCTCCCGAGCTCCAGTGTCTGGCTCGGCCGCATTCCCGCCTCTTTCATCTGTCTCCGCCTCACTGGGTGCCTCGGGAGGGCGTGGAGGGCCAGAGCTCTGAGCCCATCTCCTTGTCCAAGGTCACACAGCAGCACGCAGCAAAGCCAGGAGGACTTCCCAGGTCTGCCTGATGCCCAGATCCACTCTTTCTACCACCCTGCAGCCACTTTTTGTCTCCCCAACCTGGGGTGATATCATTCCAGCCCCAACCTGAAATGCTGAAAATGACTCCTGTACTGTTCAAGTCTTTCCGCTGAAGAAGCCCTACTTGAACTGACTCAGGAAAAACAAAGCAGTGTGGAGCCTAGTTGGCTCATATAATCAGAATCCAAGGTGATCAAGCTTCAGGCACAGTTGGATCCAGAAGATAACAAAGTCTGCACTCTCACCTCCAATGCACCATCTCTTGATTGATGGCTTCTCTTTGCCTCTTCTTCCGGTTACTTCTTGTTTCTGGTTTTCTCCACTAAACCCAGGTGGATATGCAGTTGCCCCTTGACTACCCTTCCCCTAGCTCTTCCCTGGGCTAGTTCCTTCTGTCACTTGTGTCTCAGCCCAAATATCACTCCCTTGAGGTTTACATGACAACCCTGTCTAAAATCATCCTCTCCTGAAGCTGCCTTCTAACCCACACCTCTGTTTCTCCGGAGTCACTGTCACATCGTGTGAACACCTCATTTGACGACTTGGTGATGACATTTTGCCTGCTTTCCACATTAGGATAGAACCTCTGGTGGGGAGTGCCTGGCTGAGCCCTGGACCCCAAGCTCAGGACCTGGCTCCCACTCAACACTCCCTGATGGGTGTCCAGCAATGGTTCTACTGGGGGAAAGATGGATTTCTATGCAGGGTACCCAGGATCGCAGCTGTGTCTGGGTGGACATGGGCGTCTCACCAACTCCGTTGCCCCATGGTAGAATGTTCCAGAAAATCAGCATCTGGGGGCCTGGGTGAAATGTGAATAACACTAAGCAGTGGTTTCTTCTCATCTTCAGAGCAGCAAAGATGCTGTCTGGGGGCCCTGTCTGGACCTCATGATCACAATCACAAATTCATCTCTGATCTACATAAAACTCAATGGCTCTGAAGCCGGCACCAAAGGGAAGCATGTGGATGGAAAAATTAGTCCTCATTAGAGACGGTCTTGCCAGTGACAAGGCAGCAGGGCCACAGCTTTTCATCTGCACTCCAGTCACTACTCAGCCATGCAGAGACATGACAAAGGAAGGGAGCAGGATGGCCCAATGGGGATCCTGGCCCCAGCTTTCAGCTCTCCATATCCAAATCCTTCTTCAGGTTGAAAATGCCACCTATTTCCCAAAGTCCTTGAGCATTTGCGATGAGGAGGAGAGTCGTTCTTTCCTGAACTTCGTGTAGGACTTTCCCTAAGAACAACAAAAAAAATTAATTTCCATACAGAAATCTGGTTATCTGTGGGGGGGGAATAGTTTTATATGTGATTGGAAGCTCCCTGAAGATATATTTGAAGATTTACGAAAACCCTAGTATTGTGCCCAGGGTATGGAGAGCCCCATCTGTTAAATGTCTGTTAGCTTGGTGGTTGCTTGCTTGGCTGTATGGATGACGGGTATATGGGTGGGTGGGTGGACAGGTTGGTGAGATGGATGGATGGATGGATGGATGGATGGATGGATGGATGGATGTGTAGATGGAGGAGTGGATGGACTGATGATTGGCTGGATGGACAGGTGGTTGGCTGAATAAGTGGCTGGACCAACAGTTGAGTAGATGAATGAATAGCTGCTCACTGTCATTTAAAAAATATTCTTGATGACAACAATGGCAGCAGGTCGATAACATCAGATTAAAGCAGTGTATCCTGAAATGAGTTCTACAAACACCTCAGCCCATAAGATACACCTCAAAATAAGCATTCATGTTTAGCTGAGTTTGAGAAATACTACCATGCACACAAAAGCCTCCTCCGGGGGCTCAGAATGCCCATTAGCATGTGAGCCCAAGGGTGCCCGCAGTCAGAGAACTTGTCTCAACCCATTCATTAAATGTTGTTGCAAAGTCTTCGTGATGATAAATTCACTCACAGCCCATCTCTCATCCGCCATCTTTTAAACAGGTGAATGAGAAGGTAAAGACCCTAGGCTCCACAGCCCAGTGTCTGCTAACTGGAGACACACGGGACTTTCGGAGGCCCCCAGGGACCCTGCTCATGCCTGTTTCCCTTCCTTGCACCCAAGCTGAGCGGGGAGGAAAGGGAAGCAGTGCTGTGTCGCTTTCCTGAGCTCTCACGACCCAAGACTGAGTCATCCCACTTCATCTTCCCTTTGTTAGGCTGGCACAAATTCAGATGGTTTTAGCTGTAGCTATGATACAATGCTGCAATGATGAAACACGGCCTCTTCTCCTTGGAACAAGAGGTCATGAGGAACCTGATCATTTTTTCTGAAAAAAAAAAATCATCTTACATTTCAAAGCAAAGACTCTCCAACCTCTTCAGTGGCTACAGAATGCAAAAACTTAAGATGCAAGGACTTCAAAACTGAGGGAGAAATCTGCCTGTCCAGGGAGGGTGGCCAGCTGTGTAGACCCCCTTGGGACTGGAGAGCCTAGCAGGGGCTGTCCATTTGGAACAGGTGAAGTCATCCTGCAGACTCTGCCCACTTCCCTGTGTAGGATCGTTTCTTCATCAGCTGCTCCAGCTCCCAGAGCCTCTGCCAGGTTCCCAGCTGTTCTGGGGGCCATCGCACGTGCCACATTTTCTGTGAGGGACGCCCATCCCTCTTCTCTGCAGAGAGGCCTGTGAGCTTCCTGTGGCTCAGCCACCCTCAAAATCAGGATCACTCTGCCCAGCCTGTGGTGTGTCCTTCTGCCTCTCCCGGAGTCGATTCTAGTCTGGAGTTACTACAGTTGTCTATTGCTTCCCCTTCAAAGGTTATTTCCCCCTCCCCGGGGATCTGGACTCAGGTCTTGCATCCTCTCTGTCCCTGCCACAGTGCCTGACACACTGTGGGTACTCAGACAAGATCTGCTGAGTTAGTGACTCCCCAGTAGTGAGTGGTATTTTGGGGTGTAATAAAAGGACAGTATTCCCAAGATGGCACCACTCACCTCTCTGTCAGAGAGACCAGCTGTTTTTGCCATCTGACCAATTGTGGAGCTGATACAATTGAAGGTTTATTCCAAAATGAACCTCAGTTTGATCCTGCGAAAGATAATGACCCTGTCACAGACCAAGACGACAGGGTAGAAGGAACACTTAGTGTACAGCCTCTCTGGGCAATGTTCCGCCCTTGGCACGGGCTTCTGACAGAACTGCCCAGCACCTGCCACGTGACCCCAGGAAGATGAAGCCTATGTGGGTCACAGCCTCTCCATCTGTGGCTGCAGACATTTCAGTCTCACGGGTCAGTTGCTGAAGCCACCTCCACAGCTCCCTCCTGTAGGCTTTATGTGGCCCCAACTGCCCGCTGGTGACATCACACTTGGAGGACCCTGGTCTGTAATTAGCCCCCACGAGTAGGGCTGGATAGAGCCAGGCCAGAGTCCTCTCTCGGTGCTCCGAAGCCTGAGGAGCCCCCTTCTCTAATTAAGTAACAACCGAGAGTCAATCGCAGCAGCTCCTCTGAATGTGGCTTTGCCCTCACTCCTCAGCGAAGCCACTTTTAGCATCTAAACTGTGTGGCGGAGAAGGGAGAGACACAAAAGACCTTCAGAGCCATTGCCAGTTCCCTAGGCCCCAGTGAAATCCTGCCCCAGGAGAAGGCTGCCTGTGCCCACCAGAGAAGGGCTGTTCCCAGCTCCGATCCTCTCCCAACCGGCCACAAGTCCTACAACCAACTGCTCTGCGAGTTTTACCACCCCGATCCTCAGCCCCAGCTCTGGCTCTGAGCCTCTCCTCACACTGCTGCTGTCCCCCGAGCAAGCTTTCACCTTCACCAACCCCATCCACCAACCACAGCCTCAGTATCTTCCCTTCTGAGAAACCTTCCCTGACTGCCACGCAGCTGTGGCACCCTTTTCTCTTCCCTAACAGTACAGTGGGCACAGTCCAAGTGGTCCTGGGGCCCAGCAATGCAGTGAGACCGTTTGTGCAGTGCCTGCCGTAGCAGCTCACACCTCAGGGCCCCTGGGTGCCCGTACAAGGTGGGCAGGCGCCGGGAGCTGCTCCTTCCCCTGGGTGCGGCCTGCACTTGCAGTGCCATGGCCTTGATTTGAATCCTGGGTTTGCCACTGATTCATTACTAACTCCAGGCAAATCGGTCCCCTACTTAGGCCCTCGCGTTCCTTCCCCATAGAGTGAGGGGCAAGCGCATGCCTCGCCATCGGGGCTGAGGGTGGACAGGAACAGCGTGCCGCTGCCTTCCAAGGGCCGAGGCTGATGGAAGGACTGATGTCACGGCTGTCTCTCTCCCTCTGTCCTCCCCCCCACCCCACCTGGCCCAACCTGCTCCCTGCATCATTCAAACGGCTCTTACAGCACATTCCACCAGGCCACACGGAGAAGCACCAGGCTGACAACCCAAAACCGTGCCTCTGGCGTGTACGCTCTTTGGGTGACGCGCTGATGCAGTGGCCATGGAGCTGCTGCTCCATTTCAGTCCCTCATTGCGATCTGACCAACTCCCTGCGGCAGCAAAACTTCAACCAACAAATTAGAGGAGGGCTTGCCACCCACCCCCGAGCCTCCGTGGCGTTTTGTACAGTCCATCAAAGTATGTGCTACAGGGACTTCGCTCGGTGCTGCCAGATAGTGCATGGCCCTTACCTCTGGGGGAGTCTCTGCGTCCCCACATCCCCACTGTCACACTGTGTTGTGGCCTCAGCTATTGCTGTCCCCGGGCACCCGGGGGCAGGGGGTGTGCGAGCCTGGACAGCAGGGTACTGGCCTCACAGACCTGCTCCCCGCTTCTCGGAAGCCATTCAGTCCACTAAAGAGGTACTGGAAAGCTCAAGTCCAAGCAAATAGTGTCTCCTGAACCCTAAAGCCTTTGTAAAAGAACTAAGTTCTATGGAGGCCCAGGGCGGCTTCATTCCTTCTTTAAGCCTCAGTTTCCTCATCTAGTAAATGGGGGTCATGATTTGACAGGGTTGACAGGCACTCCTGTAAATGAAGCCCACACAGGGCCCAGACCCATAAAAGCTCCACAGATATGAACAAATTGAGTCCCTGTTGTGACCAAGACAAATGCAAATTGATACATTGAAAGGCAAAGCAGGAGGCCCCTGGGGATGAAAAGGAAGCTTTCTCTTCAGATGGCTAAGGCTCAGTAGCTTTCAACTACAACCACAGTTTTTAGGGAGAACAGAGATGAAAGAGCTAAAGAAGCTCTTGTCCCTCTGAGAGAATTTCCACTGTTCTAGCGGCCACCAACGCTGGAATTGATGATGAGCAGCGAGTGGGAACAGGCAGGACCTGGGGGACACATGCAACCCATTCACCAAGTGAGGATTCTGGAGGTCAGAAAGGATCTGGCCCGGTCCACACAGCAAGCAAGAAAGAAACCAGACAGATGTGCCTGTGAGGTAAATCTAGAGATAGAATGCAGCCCAGAGGTTGCCTAGGACCAGAGGGGAGGGAGTTTGCCAGCTAAAAGGTGTGGCGTTTCTGGGTGAGGTGCTGAAAAGATTCCAAAATGGGTGCTGTGATGGCTGCTGGACTCTGCTTGTAGTGAAGGCTGTTGAGTTTTATTCTTTAAATGGATGAATTGTGTTCCTGTGGGTTGTATCTCAGTAAAGCTGAGAGAGGGAGACAGAAACAGAGACAGAGGAAAGGCCAAAGGAGTCGCTCAAGGGCAAGTCCCAGAGGTTCCTGGCCCAGGTCCCCGCCCCCCATTCTGTCATTCCTGGAACACTGCCCTTTCTCCAGGCCTAGTCACCCACTCTGGCAGGTGTCACCTCTAACGACAGGAAGGGCAGAGCCACCTGCCCTGTCTTTCTGAAAATGTGAGCCACGAATCCAGCTTTCTGGCCACACGGACCATCAGCCCGTGAGTTTCCTTTGGATGGAACTTTCGAGAAGTCCCCCCCACCTTCTCCAGCCCTAGCTTATCTGATCTGGCTCAGACGACTGTAAATAAACAGTTTCAGACTGCCCTGAAATGAGCTGTTTTCTGAGATCACATGAACTTGCTTTTAAGTAGCAGCTTCACAGATCGGTTGCTATGAGGCACTTTATTAAAAACCACCCATTTGCAGCTAAAACCCAGCTCCAACCAAATCTGATCTTCATATCTACTGCTTTTTAGACATAATGATCAGGACATCGTGGCTGTTTCTATGGGGAAGGATGGATTCAAAAGACTGCTTTTCTGTGTTTTCGCTTTCCTGACAGGCAGGTGGACTGTTCATGTAGAAGGCTGCTGCTTGCCATGGCCTTGGAGACCTTCAACAGAGACCAAATATTTATGCTTTGTTAGCACACACAGACATCTTCAGCAATGTTGATTAGCACTCGGAGCTTATCCAACCAAGGTCAGGGGCTCGCACCCCCCCAAACTGGGCCCATTTGCTTCTCTTTAGAGGTAAAGTCACCGCTTCGCTGCAGCCGATTACAGCCCACACACCAGCCTCTCTCTGGCTAACGTAACCGACTGATCCTCCTGGAGGCCGAGTGGAGCACATGGGTGGGTGGAAAATGCTCTGCGCTAGGACAAAAACAAAGACGGTGCCCTTTTCAGAATGTACCCTCAACAGGCCTTTGCATCATCCAACCTTTTAGAAGCCAAGAGATAACAAGCATGGCAGGGAGAGGCAGGGACACAGAGTCCCTGAGCGTGAGCCCTGTCGCTTGGCTGAGGCGGTGATGGGAGAAAGGCTTCTCCAGCCTCCACTGTCTCCTCTCCGCCGAGGGAGGGGGCAGAACCCGCACACCAGGCTCCCGGGAGGTCCAGACAAGTGAATAGGTGCAAAACTCTCAGTACTGTGCTCAGCCCAGCTCAGATGCTTAATCCGAAGCAGCCACATGACACGAAAATGATAATTAACACGTTTCCAAGGTAGCGAGTGAATATTGAGTGTCTTTTCAACTGTTTTTTAATCATCTTTCGATTTAATAATTTGAAATTCATTTTAAAATTTGTTAAGAGGGTAGATCTCATATTAAGTGTTCTTAGTACAATAAAATAAAAAATTTTTAAGAAGGGCTGATTTCAGTCGGAAGCTATTTCTTGGAAGCCTTCTGTTTATCACATCCTCCCTCTGATCTTCTCCTCCATCTCCTGGGTTTGAATACATGTGCATTCATTTAATAAATATTTGCAGAGACCTACTGTGCTTCAAGCCCTGCAGGAGAAGAGCAAATTCAAATGAACAGAACTCAGACTGCCTCTCAGGGGTGCCTATATCTCCTTGAGGAAGCAAAGAGAAACAAAGTTGGGCAATAAGCACCAAGATCAAACATACAGCAGGGATGTACTGCAGGCCTGGCGGAAGGCACGGCTGCCTGCGCTTTGAAAGAGGAAGGCCAGGGCTCTCGCAGAAAGACCAAAGGTTTAAACTCTAAAGAAGAGCTGTCCACGGGGACACTTGGGAAGGCCGATACGCTGCAGGAGAAATGTCCACAGGAAGTCTAGCCGCGGGTCTCAAGCTCAGAAGACACACGAAAACTGGTTAGAGATCTAGCAGCTGGCAGGGCCTGCAAATCGTGGAAGAGAGTACTCAGCCAGGGAGGGTCGGCTGCTACAGAAGAGCTCTGTGGGGGCCACCGCGGGTGTAAGAGAGGAGGAGAGACGCAGCCAGGGCACTCAGGGCGCAAGGAACTTTCCTCCCAAGGGTGACTGGACCTCACCACCTCAACACAAGGCTGCAGAGGGCCTCTCCCGCAGCTGTCACCATGCACACTCATTGGTCACCCCCTCCTTGTGTTTGAAAGCTAACTGTGCCAGCCCGATGTTTCCCTGTAGGGAGCCCTTATAGGGTTCTCTACCTGCATCCTTCCAAGCCCACCCAGCCACTGAACCACTTCCAGTGGCCTCCTCCCAAGCTGAGAGCAGCCTTTGGACATCTGTGTTTGGGGGAAATAGCTCACTACTTTAAAAAATTAAAACACCCAGCCATTGGGCTGAAATAAAACTCCAGCCTTTGCCAACAACTTCAAAGTAGAGATTAAAGGCTGGTCTTAAGACTTAAAGGCACCGCACTGATGGCTTTGGGTAGGAGCCTGTTTCTGCAGAATTAATAGCAATAGCAGGTTTTAACAGGTTA